AGAGGGGGGGGGTGGGGGGGGGGGGGGGGGGGGGGGGGGGGGGGGGGGGGGGGGGGGGGGGATGGTGGAGTGGGGTGTTTCAGCGCGGCCGAGCTGTTAGAGCGCTTGACTTGCGATTCGGAGGCTCCGAGTTCAAGTCCCACTCTGACCGTTAGCTGGATTTGTTCACGGTAGTCCCGAGTTCAAATCCTTGGACCACACTTGTAAATAACCAACTGGTCTGCCTCCGGCCTGTTGGGATTCTTAACTCGTTTAAGTTTTATTTGAATTATTTGTTTCAGGCATTTGCTCAGCCCCACTAGCATTAGTGCTATAACTACTGCCGAGGGTAAATAACAAAAATTTTTTTAACGCTATCCACCAGATTAATATATTTGTAATGGAGAACGTAATTGGTTTTCCCGATAATTATCCACTAGATATAGAGGATATTTATTACATGGCCGCGCGGAGATACGAAATTTCTCTTCGAATGTTGAAAAATATTTCACGAGTGAGCGAAGCGAACGAGTGAAATATTTTCAACACGGAAGAGAAATTTCGTATCTCCAAGCGGCCATGTAATGTTCTATTTATTATATAAACACCAATGAAATACCAAACCATTTCACTGAACTTCAGTTTTACCCTGCGAAAGGCGCGATTTATTATGTAGCCATAGCAACAATGTTATTTTCACATGTGAATATATCATGTTTTCGCGCGAAAGCTCACCTGGTGTTCACTGGCGTTTATATAATAAAGTGATTTATCCAGTGGATAGCGCTTGTAAGATGTTTAAATTGGACAACCAGGACCAAATGTATGGCAAACTCATATTCATTGTGTATCAGCCCAAGACCTGGGAGGGGAGGGGAGGGGACAGACACTTGGACAAAAACTGGCCGGTGTCGTTGAGCAGGGTAAGTTTTTCAGGGCGCTTTGTCTTAAATAGCTGATAGGGTATACATTTTTTATGAGTAAGCGTGGTCATCAGAGCAGTACATCCCGTCAGATTATACCAAACAGGTGTAAGTAAAATTTACCAAGGTAACTTGGTGAAGAGGAAGAAAGGGTAATCCACTATTCGTACATTATTCTTCCTTGGGGCATGCAGAGTAACTATTCGTAAAATTTACACGTACCGTGTGATAACGGAACCACTCATCCCCAATGAAGCTGTACAGTAAGTAAAATGAAGTGACTGCTTCAGGCTGCTCATCTAATGTTCGCTTTCCCTGAGTACCAACTCCGCGTATGAAATGTGGAACCAGCAAATCAATCTGTAAGTAGTGATAAGGCACTTTGCCCGGAACCATTATGACAGATGACGTTAAAGCACACCATCCCAGCCCCTGAAGACGGGAGTGGTCTTTTTCGTATCCTTGGGCTTCACTTGATACTTCTAGCTGGTTGTTCTTTATACTGCCGGTCTGCATTCCAAGCGGGGAAGTGCACTCCGCTAAGTGTCAAGAAATAAAAATGGAAACTCTTTGTTGGTGCGAGACGGAAACAATATCCACCTAGCAAAGATTTAGAGGAAGCTTTAAAGAACTGCAATACGTATGTAACCTCACACGAGTAAATTTTTCGTTTTTTTAATAGCAAACGCCTGGACGTGTATCAGTTCAAGTCCATACAATCTAAATTTGATGGATAATAGGACATAAGAGTCTTTAAAATCAACGCCAGACGTGCTTGCTGCATGTATATCCCCTCGACAGGTTTCAGATAATAACGTCACAAGACAATCCTTCCCTTCCTCATCAAGTGATCAAAGATACCTAAGGGCCCCTGTTCAACAATACAACAGCATTGAAAACGGAATGAGTAGAGGGATGCACCCTTGTTAGCCATAAGGATGTTAAAGCTATTGGTTCAAGGTAAATTTATAAACAATGCACTAACCATGAGAAATTCTCCGCTTATCTACGTTATTGCATCGTCAAATAGAACTCACTGGACCGTTTATTTACGGTCCCATACTTTTCACCAAGATCATCGACAGGCGGCCAACATGATCTCAAATGTGGCGAGTCTCATTGAGCCTTGGCTTCTGGTCTAGCCTTGGGTAGAGTATCAAATCTACATAGGGGAAGGGTACGGTCTTGGAGGAGGCTTCCCTCCCCTAACCGCTAAAGACACCGACACCTCTTCCATTCGGTAAATTTGAAACTAAGAAGGCCGCCCGTAACACTAAGCACAAATTCTCGATGATCTGACGGAAACATATGGCAATGTAAACAGTCAACAACTCACAATCAAAGAATACTAGACTGCGAGGCAGGTGCGTAATGAAAGGGGGATCAGTGAAGCCCGAAAGGGAAAGAGAAGAACTTCATTTACCTTCACATCCATACAGCTCAACTCTCATGCACTGATTCTCAGCCCACTTTTGAGGGTTTAAACGTATGTAGCGAGCAACAATGGCCCATTCATCGAAAAGCCAGCTGCTAGATGGAATACTCGGAAGATCGTGTACAATGCCATAAAACAGCTGAAGAGATATGACAACATTCCATTAAATAGATATGTTTCTTTCTAGAACAAAAATAGGATACTTTTCAGCATATTCAATCAATCGAATTAATCGGCTTATAAAAGGAGGCAAAAATAAATATAATATTTCAGTTTATTACAGTATCAGTTCAAAAATTGCTAGCATCAAAGAGTGATGACGCCTTGTGGAAATAAAAGACAAGTAATAGTGAAACAATGATATTATGGTGGCGGTGGTAGGCAGTTAGGAAACATAAACAAGAGATGTTTGTGAACAGTGTTGGCGGCGAGTTGTTGTTGCTAATTTTTCAAGAGAATAAGTATTTGTCATTTCAATTCCAAATGAAGACAATGATAAAGAAAGAAAGAGTAATGGCTTTTTGTTGGGTTTTTAATCTTAGTAATGAGAGTGGTAATTATAACATACTTTCTGCCTACGCCAGGTCTGAAAACGACTATGTGGATTTTAGCTAGAGGCCAGGCCTGAAAACGGGCGTGGAAATGATAGTTTTTGGTCTGAAATAGGCTGAGGATTTGGAGAACCGGGCGGCATACCCCCACTCAAAATTCCCAGGAATACCCCCTGGAGTGGAATACTCACAAAAATTTCATGAGTTTGTTTGTTGCGGAAGATGCGAAAGGAGCTAGGATCCACAGCATAATATACTTGATACATTTTCACAACACTTTTTGGCTCAAGGCCTTGCATCGTGATCCCATGAATTCTTTTCAGGGCGATGAGGTCTATTTGAAGGTACTGTGATTTGGCAAGTACAGGATCTTGAAGAGCGGATATTTTGGGACACCAGGCAGATGCTGCTTCATTTAGGCGTCCTGAATGAGCAGGATAATTATCCTCTTCAGATGATGCTGTCATACGACTATCTTGCAAGGGCCCATTTACGTGGAGTATACTGTCCCTTCTTTCTAGCCCAAGCGGCAATGCACATTCTGAAATGCAACAAACAAATTAATGCCACACGTCAGAAAGCAACCAGGGGAGCGGACTTAGGGGGGTTCCAAACCTCCCACTTTCCGAACATTACGTTCCCGGCTCCGGCCGATATTTTCTTGGTTTCCTCCCTTGGGACCTTTTTTGATTGCAAACTCGTGTATTACGCATTGTTGCGTAATTTCCCTCTATTTCTACCGCTTCACATACATTAGAACTCCCAAATCTCGCCCTGTTCTCTCCGGTCCACCTCCCGTACCCCCATTCCATAATCACCCGGGCTCCCACCCCCTGCCCTCCCCCAAAATCTACAGTCAATCAAAACTCTTCAGCTTTTTTTTCTATGCATAAAAACCTCTTCTGAAAAGCTGCGACATATGTATATTCTTGTTTGAAACAGTTGCGCTTGACCCGGCTAAACCCAAAAGTATCATTGGAATAAAACGTACAAATTTATGAAATTATTTGTCCCAATATTATCAAAAGAAAAATCTAATTACCAAGACATTGACCATCACTGTCCGTCATATAGCATTTGCAGTGGTATGTACCCTCGGTGTTTATACACTCCTCTTTATCTGTGCAGTTATGCAGACCCTCTCGGCATTCGTCGATATCTGAAATACATCGTTTTTGCATTAGAAATAAAGCCCTGTGTAAACGGACACAACATTGTTGGTCAACAACTCCCGACATTGTTGGATGTTACATGTTGCGTGCGTTTGCATGTTGTTGCGTGTTGTTGGGAGTAGTTGCACAAATTAAAGTTTGAAACCGGTCAAACGCTTAGGTACGTGGTAACGGACGCAACATGCTCCCTTCATTGTTGGGCCAAAAATGTTGGGAGTTGTTGCGTCTGTTTGCCTGTAGCTTAACAGTGCTACTTGATGGTTAAATGATAGCCTCAGTTATTCTACTATCCGCTAGCTGGGACAGATCTGTGTTTTTTTACCCTGCGAAGGTTAGTAACGCTAAAAAGAAGTAAAATATCACGCAAATTTCTTTTTTTGGCTACAACATGACCTTCATGTGTAATCCTTTTGTAGCATAACATCGGTTTGCATGTAGTGGACGTACGTTCGGGCGGACGTACGCTACATCATAAACAAGTTTTCTTAGTAATGGAGCTCCGCTCGCGCGTGCGTGGAGCTCCGCTATAATTCCTAAACCACAATCGACGACCTAATGGGTGTGCTCCAGGGTGGGGTATGGACCAACACCTTAAACCCACTTGATCCGCCAATGTTGGCGATTCTAGCTGTCGTTGGGTAATTTTCTAAGTTTTGCTTTTGTACACCTCGGTTATAAATAATTGACCTGTACACTGTTCGTTAATTTGTTCTGGTGCTAAATAATTTTCACAAGTCCTTGGCAAAGTAAAAAAACAGACTGAAACACTAATAATGAGCAAAACTCGGGTTTAATACTTTGTGCGCACTCAAGGTGCAATTGTCCGTACAGATGGGCAAAGACGTGTTCATTTTCCATGAAAGGACCTATGTAAGCGCGCCGTTAAAACAAAAAAATGGCACAACAAATATCATATGTATTTACCTGTGCATTTGAATCCGTTTCCTCTATATCCAGGTTTACAATGACAGGTAAAATAGGGAGTTAAATCCGTACAAATAGCATTTTTGCTGCAGTTGTGGGTGTTGAGAGAGCACTCGTTGATACCTAGAAGAGACTCTCTGCTATATTAGGCTGATTTAGCAACAGAACGGGAACGTCAGTTGACGACGGCGCGCGCAAATTAAACACCTGGCTTGACCAATGGCAGAGCGGCAAATTGGGCACCGGAAGTCTTGTTTAGTCCTTTCTGCGCGCTTCCCCGTCGTCAAATGACGTTCCCGTCCTGTTGCTTAATCAGCCTATGGCTGGTTCGAACGTGACGTCACAGTGCCTATGTCGGCGGTCAAGAACAACGGCATTTTTCTTCCCTGGGAACTAGACTCTATTCTCATGCAAATTATTCTAGAAAAAATTTGATTGTATTGACTCCCAACATGGCCGCCTTCTCACGTGGTTGCAAACCAAGAATAAAATGACACAGAAGAACAGCTGTAAGCTGTAAATTATTCATTAATGACCCCTTATCGCCAAAAATGATAAACGGTACCAGAAAAATAGAACAAATTCAAATGAACTTCAACACGTTACGTAAATGCACAAAACTTGCAACAGATAAATGTACAGTAAGCAGCGTCTTTACGAACAACTCCACATTTGAGAGGAAAGACTATTGTACTCTTTCCGGCTTATCAATTATCGAGTCTTTTTCGTAGAAACGTCATTTAAAGACGATTTCTCAGCTAAAAGAATAGAAGTGATTGAATGAAACTAGACATGGCAGCCGCGAGCTAACACCCGCGATTCTACAGCCTTAAATATGGACAGATTGGGTAACATAAAACCGCTAACCGCAGATCGCGGCATGCCGTTTTCGGTTAGGTGGCCAAACCTCGATCTTAAGGTCTTTATTTCGCAGATAAAACAAAGTAGCGAAATAAAAGTGATATTTACCTGTGCAGTTTTTTCCATCTCCTTGGTATCCCAGTTTACAGGTGCAGGTAAATAAGGGAGTGAGATCCTTGCAAATAGCATCTCTGTGGCAGTTGTGTGTGTTTGTAGCGCATTCGTCTATTGCTAAAAAATCAGAAATGACATAAGAGAACATTATTGTTGTGATGTTTATCTAATCCGTCTGCTATATGTTTCCCAGTTTAAGCTTTTTTTTCAGCAATACCACTGATGAAATAAATGAATTACCAAGGGTTGCTTCTGCACTTTTGAATTGGCAACTCCCTCCTCTCCCTTCGAGAGGCTTTTAAGAGATTACCTATTACCCGAGTTGATCATTTATAAATCCTCATAACCTTTTTTCTCGATTGCGTATCGAAATTGTTCGAAGAAAATTGATGTTGTTCTCCCTTGGATCGTGAAGAGGTAAGGGAGCTTGGACTTAAGTTAAATGGTGAAACCCTATGTATAGCATATAAAGTTATAGACAATTGTAAAATTTACTTGCACAGATGACTCCGTCTCCGTCATATCCCGGTTTGCACTCGCAGTTGTAGGCAAGGTGGGTTTTATGACAATAAGCATTGGGATTGCAGTCATGCGTGCCGAGAGAACATTGATCTTGACCTGAAAGAATTGCGTATCAACGGTCAAACCATGAGTTAATACAAATGACAGGACAGAGAAGAACTCCATGGATCAATTTCGCAGAAATGATTTCAAAATACAGTGCAAGCCATATCTCGTAAACGAACACCCTCGGGACGGGAAAAAGAAGGCGGTTACTGGGGCTGGCCGCTTACGATGTGGCCAAACTGAGATTTAAGGGTTAAATGGCCGCTTCGAGGGAGTTTGCTCAACTGCACATAAAGATTGGAAATGTAAAACTGCTATAGAAAATAGAAATTCGTACGGTATGTAAAAAAGCACTGAAACTGATATAAATTCCTTGTGACAAATAGCGAAATAGACTGAGAAAACAGCCGACATTTGGCGACGCCACCACTGGTTTCCCCTCCAAATGACATCTGAGAAACGAGCGCAGAAATTCCATACTGATGACGCGTCACTACCCAGATCTGGGTAATGGTTCTGGTTGGTCGTACCGCGGAGGAAATTTGCTTTGTCCAATCAGAAGCACCACCCAGATTTCGGTAGTGACGCGTCATCAGCATGGAATTTCTGAGCTCGTTCCTCAGACGTCATTTTCCGGGGGAAAATGTGAAATACATATAGAACTGCTCATAAACGACTCTCTCAAAGACTTTCGCTACAACAGGAATTAAAGAATTAAAGAGATCGGACGGTAGTTATTTTTAAAGTCGGAGCGTTCTCTTTGCTTTAAGAGTGAAATGACTTTAGAACACTTCCATTCTTCAGGAAAAATACCTGTTGTAATAGAACGATTGAAAATACAACAAACAGAAGAGGCGATAAGTTCAGCGCAGTCACGAAGAAGTCTAGCGGAGATCTTGTCAAGGCCTATCGCTTTTGATTCGCATAATAGTGATTAAACTCAGGTTATGTTTACGCTGTACCGGATAGCTCTTGCGCTTGAACGAAAACTAAACCAGATAGGGCTTAAGTTCACACATAAGAACGTTGATTTTGGCGCGATTTCTGTAACAGAGCAAAGCTGCGCCTCGCGGGCCTCGAAAGTGAAGCGTCACACTTCGAATAGATTCTGCGCCACACTTTGTCTTAGTGTGAACAGATCGGACCTTTGCGGAAGTGAATAACTAGAGTAAGGTCTGGAACCCACTGAAAGGGAAGTAAATATTCCGGATTGAGGACTGAGTGACTGACTGACTGACTGACTGACTGAGTGCACGGCCAACCGCTCCGGCACGATGTTCGATTTGTGTGAACGACTTGTTCAAGTATAGGAGGTTACAGTTCTGTTTCTTTGCTGTTCACAATGTACCGAATAGCTTTTCGTGTCGGCACGATAAGTTATGCAAGATAGTGTGAATATAACCTTAGGCCCCTTTACTGACCGTTTATACGGAGAAAACCCCTCCCGGGAAGAAAGCCAAGGTCACCCTACACGCCGAGTAAACTTAAGCGACTGTTTGTATGAGAAAAAAAGTTGATTTGTTTGTCCAAGTCAACATCACCAGCGCATGTTCTGATTGTCTCACCAGATAATCGAGTGGACAAAGTGTTTATATGGAGAAAAGTTGGCCCGGCATGCCTTATAATTAGATGTTGACCCTACCATCACAAAAGGGTGACCCGCCTTATAGCCGAGCTAACGTTTTGTTTCTCATGTGAACGGTTCGTTATTAGTGAACTTACACAACAGGACGGGAGAGGAAATACGACGGCAAGGGGGAGTGTGACAAGCGTGACAATATTATTTACCTGCACATCTACTATCAAGATCCTGCCTATAGTCTTGTGCAATTGAACGTAAAAGCATCTTTGTTATAAAGTCAAACTGTGGATCTTGTATATTTTTGTTTGTCTGGTTATAGAACCTCTCAGCCTCTCTACAATTGCGCTTGACGTTTCCGCAGACAGTTAGCAAAGCTACAAGCAAAAAAGAAAAATGGGTTTTGGGACTGGAATAGTTCAAAGCAGGGTTAAAATAACACAGGATTAGTGCGAAATTTGTATATATAAAATCTCAACGTGTAGAAACTTTAGGCAACTTCTTATAAATTCCTAAAGCTTACAATTTGATTTTTGGATTTTTTTATTAAAATCGCTTAACAAACAGTGCGATTCAATTCGCGCCAAATTATTTGTTTAGAGTAGTTCTTGTTAACATTGTTTTATTTCCATTGTTTTTTGACTTTATAAATATTTTTAGCACTTTTTACATTTTTACATATTTTATCACATTTTAGCGTTCACCACATTTTTATCTATTATAACTTGTTTTTAACTTATTTATGCTAATTTAGAGAACTTTTATACACTTGAAAATGACCTCGGAGAGGTCGAAACGTCGTGATTTTTTATCGCTAATATTTATCTCAAAATCGAAAGAGGAAATGCTTTTGAACCAAAGAAACAGCTGAGGAACCTAGGTTACAATTTAAGGTGATTCCCTAGTTTTGCACTGCGCATCTCTTACTGCGCATAACAAGATGGCCGCCGTAAAAAAGCGCATGTAAAGTAATATTATTAAAATGGAGTTGACTGAAGAGAAACGCTATTAAAATTTTTGCTTGCTGTGTTTCTTGCCGAGGTGAGACTCAGTGTGTTGGGAATGTGCATAACGTAAGCAGTACGTGTGTTGCTGAAGTCGACCTCCTCCCGGAGAACCTCGATAGCGGATGTTTAATTTGTGCTTACTCACTTTGATTTTCATTTAAACACTTTCTTTATCACATTGTGTCCTAAATGTGATATCTCGATGTAAATTCTGTAAAAACGGATTTTTTAATACTTTCTTCCCCCTTTCACATACATTCTATTTTGAAACTCGCCCCAGTCCTCTCTCAAAAATCGGAGAAAATGCGTTTGGTGCGCACTTTCTGCAACTCTACCGCAAAAACGAGTACGGTGACC